ATAAACAAATCCCGTTTTGATTGTCCTTTAATTGGAAAAAACTCCCTTGCGCCCTCTCGGGTGCGTAAAAAGGATGTGTGACAAGGGTTACCTAGTTTAGAGACTACGTGCCATCACGACTCCTTCGCAGGGATTTTTGGGTCATGACACTCATAATTATTGGTAATCGGCCTCTCGGGCAACAACATGAATCAACAACAGCCCCTCGGGCAATATCACATTACTCACACTGGGTACCCGCGTTCAGAATTTGGAGGGGCTCCTAAAGCCCAAGCGCTATAACAAGTCATCTCGTGGCATAATAAATCAGGCCCTCGACCTCTCATATATCACAAATCAGTACAACATGCTACGGCGCGCAGCCCGATCCCATGATATCCTCACAACACAGGCCCTCGGCCTCACTCAGTCAGAAACCTCTCAAGCCACTCGGACTACAGTAAAACAGGGTGCTCATCCCAAAATTTCATTTATAACACCAAACGGAGTAAATAAGACTGAGTTATGAAATCATTAAAATACTGCATGACTGAGTACAGATATTAAATCAAAAATAGTGAAGAATAGTAGTAAAAAGCCCCTAAGGGTCCAAAACAGTTGGCATGAGGCCCAAATACGGCATTCAGCCCAAAACACAGTAATACTTTCAAAAAACGCAATATTATCAAATAGTTTTCAATCAAATGTGCGACTTGATAGTCGTACGGGATGGACCAAGTCACAATCCCTAACGGTGAACGTCCCCATGCTCGTCATCTAACGTGTGCATCATCTCAGAATAGTGAAACGATGTGAAATCCGGGGTTTCATACTCTCAGGACAATATTTATAATCATTACTTACCTCAAACCGGCCCAAACTCTAACCTGCGATGCCCTTGCCTCTCGACTCGGCCTCCAAATGCTCTAAATCGAATCAAAATCATTATATTATCATCAGTATACGCTAAAGGAATAATGCCCAAGCAAAAATAATCAAATTAACTCAAAAATCTCGAAATTGGACAAACCCGACCCCGGGCCCACGTCCCGAAATTCGATAAAAATCACATCACAAGAATCCTTATCCTCCCACCAGTCCATACATACCAAAAACATTGAAATCGGACATCAAATGGCCCCTCAAATCCCCACTCAAAGCTAAACTCAAGCCCTAGCCTTCAATTTTAACCCTTAAATCCCACTAATTTCATATCTAATCAGTTAGAAGTTACCATAGAATCAAGTATTGAGTTCAAAAACCTTACCTCTAAGTGTTACCTCTTGAATCCCTCTTTAATTCCTCTTAAAAAGCTCCAAGTCAGAACACAAATGGTGGAAAAATGACCAAATTTCGCGAAGCCAAGAATTTATATGTTCTGCTCAGGGGTTCCGCATCTACGGTCCAAATACCGCATCTGCGTACCCCGCACCTACGACCAAATGTCCGCATCTGCGGAACTTCACTTAAATCCCCTATCCGCATCTACGATCAAAACACCGCACCTACGGGCTCGCAGATACGACTCACCTTCCGCATCTGCAGTGCATCCCTAGCCAACCAACCTCCGCCTCATGCGATCAAAAATGCCGCTTCTGCGGCTCCCCCCCCCC